TCAATCGACATCAAATGCTGGTGTATCTAGGCTTGATGTCAGTGCAGGGGTGAATGCAGGGAAGTCGTCAAAGGTTCCTGTACTAGACATGGTTATACAGGAGGATGGCAGGTATTTGCACAACGGTGCGTCATATGTGGATGGGCAGGGAAGTGATGATGATGCAGACGAGAACATCAATGGTGACGACATGACAGAATCTGATGAAGATGATGGTGATACTGTGACACCAACTGCCCCGTCTAGTCACTTCACTAGAATGTATGATCTCCCTGAAGGTTTTACTGATGCGTGGATGAGTGGATCAGGTGAGAAGAGGTTTACTCCCGATGGTGAGTTTGAGGTCGGTCAACAGTTTGACAACAAAGAACAAGTCATCAATATGGTGAGCTTGTATTCTATCAAACGAAACCAATTCTATCGGGTGATAGAGTCCGATAAACACAAATGGGTGGCACAATGCAAAAGGAAGAAAGAATGTCAATGCCCCTGGAGAATACGCGCCACAAAGAACAAAGGCAACCTTGACACCTTCACAATTGTGCGTTATTCTGGACCTCATTCTGCTTCTTGTGTAGGCAACATCGACACTACAGATCACGTGGCCTTGACATCAGAATTCATCTGTAAAGATGTGGTTGACATTATTCGCACTGATCCTTCTCTTAAAGTGCATACTATCATCGAGATGTTGAAGGAAAAATATGGGTATACTGTATCTTACCGGAGAACATGGATGGGGAAGCAAAAAGCCATAGCACAAATATTTGGCAGTTGGGAAAAGTCATATTTCGAGTTGCCCCGTTTCATGACAGCGCTCCAACATTCTAATCCAGGAACTGTTGTTCAGTGGTACCCACCCCCCAATGGTGCGACAGGTTATATGATGTTTCAAAGAGTTTTTTGGGCATTTAAGGCATCTATATCTGGTTTTAAGCATTGTCGACCCGTACTTACTATTGATGGAACACACATGTATGGAAAGTACAAGGGCACATTGCTCGTGGCCATGGGTTGTGATGCGAACAACCAAATTTTCCCAGTCGCCTTTGCAGTTGTTGAATCGGAGAATGGAGACAGTTGGCCATGGTTTATGGCATGTATTAGGCATTTTGTGACTAACAGGGAGTTGTGTGTCATTTCAGATAGACATGGAGGTATTGTTAGGGCAATGAATGAGGTGGGAAGTAATTGGGAGGAGCCTTATGCGCATCATAGGCTATGCATCCGTCATCTTGCTTCAAATGTGCACACTCATTTCAAAGACATTCATTTAAAAAATCTATTTGTGTGGACCGCACGACAACATCAGAAAAAAAAATTTGATGGTGGGTTCAAGAAAATAGGTGAAATGAGTAGGGATGCACGACAATTTTTGGCCAACATTCCTCCAGAAATGTGGTCGTTGTACAATGATGGCGGGTACAGATACGGTACCATCACTTCAAATCTGGCTGAGGTTTTCAATAGCGTCATGAAAAATGCTAGATATTTGCCCATTACCGCCTTGGTCCAGGTGTCTTTTTACCGGGTTAATGCGTACTTTGTGAATAGGCGTGAAACTAGTAAGTTGAGGCTCACACAAGGCCACGAGTACTCCCCATACATCACAGATTTAATTGAAAAAAATAGAGAGAAGGCAAAGCATCACATTGTCACTCCTTTTGATTTAGGGCGAGGTATATTTCAGGTGGAGACCGGTTGTGGTGGCAGAACGTTGGGAAAGGGTGGGAGAAAACAAACTGTCCATCTACAACGGAAAACGTGCACTTGCAAAAAGATGGAGATATACAAGATTCCTTGCTCCCATGTATTAGCCGTGTGTAGACAACGTAGTTTGTCTTATGCTCCATTTGTGGATAAGTTCTTCTCTTCTGACCAATACGCCGCCACGTATCATAGGGTGTTCAAACCGATTCCTGATCGTGATTATTGGCCAAATTACAATGGACCCGAAATCGTGCACGATCCATCCATGCTTCGGGCAAAGGGAAGACCAAAGTCGACCCGTATTAAGAATGAGATGGATGAAGGCCCACGAGGAACGGTTAGATGTGGAAGATGCCACCAAACCGGCCATAATAGAGCGACATGTGCAAAGAGATCATCTAGACAAGAGGGGGGGTCCGCCGGGTATGTGTATATTTAGAGTCAATCATAATTCATTATTTCCTTGCATGGAAAATTAATAAATTCAAAAAAGGAAGTTAAAAAAAAATTAATACATTATACAATTACAATTTACAACTAATACAATTAGAACTAATACAAATTTTGTTTGTAGGCATGGAGGTGATAGCGGATCCTGGGCCGAGTGATCCTTCTGTCCTGACACTGCAGGCCTCACACAGGAGTGAGGATGTTTGGCTTGGCATGGATGTGCAGGTTGATAGGTGTCGCGAGCATCTGCGGGGTTTGTCCCATTTACATGTCGACCCCAGAGTCCTAGCATATGTTCGTGCAGCAGGTTTTTTTACACTGCACAGGTTAGTGGCTACTGTGCCTTTAGATAGAGCCCTCCTCACTGCTCTACTTGAGCGTTGGAGGCAGGAGACACATTCATTTCACCTCCCTGTTGGTGAGGTCACTGTGACATTGGGAGATGTGGCTGTACTGACTGGGTTAGAGGTTGATGGGAGAGCTGTTACAGGCACTGCTTGTCGACAGTGGGTGGATGAGTGTGAGAGGTTGTTAGGCATCCGCCCCGTTCTTAGGGCTGACCTTCAGGGGTCATCTCTTAGGATGCCATGGTTGAGGGAGCACTTCCAGGCCCTTCCTCCCGACGCTGATGAGATGATCATCCAGCAGCATGCTCGGGCGTATATATTGATGATGATGGGAGCCTCCATTTTCGCTGACAAGAGCGGAAATGAGGTTCAGGTGCTACACCTGCCTTTGCTGGAGAGGTTTGATGTAGCAGCACAGTTTAGCTGGGGTAGTGCCACCCTGGCTTATCTCTACAGGCAGCTGTGTCGCGGGTGCCAGAGAGGGAGCACAGAGCTGGGGGGATTTTTGCTACTCCTCCAGATTTGGTCATGGGAGTATATCCACATTGGCCGTCCCATTATAGTTGGATATCATGGCATTGATGGACAGCCACTGCCTGATGAGCCTCCACGTCTGCTAGGACCACATCATGTACGGGGCGTGGACCCTCTAGGCCGTCGGTATGTTTTCAATCGTTTGTATTTGTGTTAGTTTTTGTTGAATGTAAATGCATTAATAAAATCCATATTATTGATATTGTAACATTAATGGTTAGGTGGCTATATGCTGGTTTATCTCGCATGTCATCCGCTACTGGTCTCGGTGTGTACAGGGATGCATTGGATCGGATGTCAGAGGACCAGGTATGGTGTGTGTAGTATAACAGTAACTAGAATAGGTGTAGAATAAATACTAATTTTGTATGTTTACGAAACAGATCACATGGATGCCGTATAGACCTGATATGTTAGCAGAGTTGCCCCCAGCTGGACGAGAGCAGACTCACATATGGCGAGCACGTGTGCCGCTGATATGTTTTGACATTGTTGAGCTTCATTTGCCTGATAGAGTCATGCGACAGTTTGGGTTTGAGCAGGTCATTCCACGTCCTATCGACACTTATGTAGAGCTGCATAAGCTGGATAGGCGTGGGAAGCATACAGAGGATTGGGCACTCAGACATGTCCGATACGTGACTATGTGGGATAGGAGAGCTGAGCTAGCCGTGGCTGGGACACCCACATATGTGCCATCAGTTTCAGGAGATTACATGGGATGGTACTACAGCATCACTCGGTTGTTTGTGTCTCCTTCGTTCAGACTCCCTACTCATCATTATCAGCCTAGCTCATTGGCATTGCATCTTACGGTGAGTATATTACTAATTAGTAAAGTAAGTCATTTTATTTATGTAATACTTGTATGTATTTGAATGTAATTGTAATTGTGTTTCGTATTGCAGACCCGAGCTTTGCAGCGCATACATCAGCGGGCTACTGCCACTGTGACTGATATTCCTGATGTGGACATGTATGGACAGACTCTGACAGGCATTGCCTCGTTATGCTCAGATGTGTTGGGTCGAGTAGACTACGGACATCTTATACACATGCCCGCATCTCAGGAGATGGCATCCACGTCTAGTGCAGCTGCGGGTTCATCATCCCAGACGCAACATGAGAGAGTGGTTCTTCAACCACGACAACGCCGTAGGCGTAGACATGAGCAGCAACATCTCCATGACGAAGCTGATGATGGGAACTTGTAGTTTGTCTTTTGTATTGTAGTTTTTCTTATGCAATAGATGTTGTAGGAACAATTTACAAGTTTTGATGTATTTTCTCTTGTTAAGTATTCTATGTTGTATTGATGTGTTCGAGTATGAATATTACATGATTATTTGTTATGGCATATATGATGATTGAACTGTGTTATACCGGTTATGATTTGAAAGTTTTTTAGCGGTGTTTATAAGGTGTTTTTTATGTTGTTGAGAGTATGTGATTATCATGTGTTGTATCTAGTTTGTAACACTTCAAAAGGAGAAAGGAGACCTTATTTGTAGCAAACAGATCGGTCTGGATTGAACCGGGGCGAAAAACAAGCTGATTTGGTGTTTTAGGTAATAGGCACGATCGTGCGTAAGGAAATACGCACGATCGTGCGTGGCTGGCAGTAGCTGCTCGGTAGAAACCATATTTCAGGGCAAAGTCGCCCAACCGTTGGGCGACTTATAAGTCGCCAAACGGTTTGGCGACTTATAAGTCGCCCAACGGTTGGGCGACTTTGCCCTGACCACGGTTAAGGCCCAGCAGTATTTTGGTAAATACTTTTTTTCCAGCATTATTTCCGTAAATAATTAATTAATTAACATTAATACGGAAAAAAAACTGATATAGCAATCACTCCCATGTCCGAAATGGCGTATTTTTGAGTTTTGTTTCCCCCCAAAGCGCTTCAGCTTTTTGCTCAAAGGTATAAGCTCATTGTTTTTCTCTACTTTTTTTTGCCATGATTCTGCTGCTATATGTGTGGAAAACTTCGGTTTTGAAACTAAATGTCTGAATTTTGCTGATAGAAAGTTTTTTGTTCGAATGGGGGGTTTTCAGGACTATTTTTCCGTTTGCTGTAAGCGATTATGGGTCAAGCTTTCGCTAATGATTCACGGATCACATCAGTGTCTCTTATTGGGGTGTAGGGTTTATCAGAGGGTTGGGACGTCGGGTTGCTTATTCTTAAATGTGTTTAAATTTGATAGGCAACTGTTTGATAGGCAACTTAAAGCAAGCAACTTAAGTTTCGCTTTTTTTTCCCCTCCCGATTTTTACGTTTATATTTTCCCCTTTTTTTGAACTGAAATATAGGCTTAAATTGCTGCAGCTCCTTTACTGCCGCTGCCCTGATTCAATTTTTTTTAACAAAAAATAACGATCCATTTATTTAATTAAATAATACATAGTATAAATTGTTAATCACAATGATATGCCCATGTGCAAGCTCTGGTAATCCATTCTATTTTAGTCTACCAGACAGTCCGGGCATCCGACTACCCAATGTATGATGCATTGCATTTACAGAGATATTTTCTGTCCATATTAAGAATGTTAACAATTGCGAATGAAATGAAATATGGGATTAAGAGTATAAAGGTTTGTATTTTCAACAAATGGTATGAATTAGTCCATTTATCTTGTTTCATGTGATACTGAATTCAACCAATGTATTAATATTTTTATGCTTGTATTTTTCATTTTCATTTTGTAAAGTCTTGCTTTATGGGATTATGTGTAAACAGGGTTTTGTTTATCATCCTTCATTTGCTTTCTTGGAGCGTCTCTTCAACATGTTTTCTCTATTGCGGTGTTAAATCTTCATGTAGAAGTCTTCAAGTATTATTATAAAGAAACTTGGTTTGAGTTATTTCATGTCTGGTTTCACAGATGGTGGAACGTCACACTGCGGAGGCAGTAGGAATTGCATTCACTGACCAATATTACCATGTTCTATATCACCGGCCTGAAGATACACATAAGTTCTACAAGGACTCAAGTGTTGCTGGATGGGAAGGAAAAGATGGTGTTGTGCATTCAGTGACAACAATGAAAGTGAGCATATATATACTGTGTTCTCTATCCAATTCTTTTGTCTCTCATTGTGTAATGATTGTAGCTTTTTCTTGACTGTATGATTAATGCATATGAGAGACCAATCCTAAACATCACATTGTAGCCTTCTAAAAGTAACAAAATTAAACACAATAGTTTGCATTAACGATTGTGAAATGTCGACATGGTTAATAATGCAAGCTATCTATGGAGGCTGCTCACTTGCATGCTAAATATTTTTATAAGTGGGCTTCTGGTTGTTTCTTGTGAAGGGACCTCACCAGGAATTAAAGTTTTGCCTCCCAGCCCCAAGAAATGATTCAAATGAATCCCCTTATTTTCAGGAAAAGGAGCCAAATTTCTATGGAGAATATTGTTTGGTTGTGCCAAGATTGGTGTCAAACTACCTCTTTTCACCTTTCGTAAATTAATGCTTTTTCCATGGTAACCAAACACACTCTAATAAATAGGTGGGTTTAACAGATGTATTTACAAAAGGAATCACCAATTTCGGTAGTCACTTAGGGCTTGTTTAGTTGGGCAGGTTTTGGAGGGGATGAGAGGGAAGGATTGATTTGTTTGCTTTACTCTGTACTAATTTAAGTTACTTGCGACATTTGCCTTATGTGGGTTCTTATGTTTTTTGGTATGTTGTGTTAAAATTCTCGTATTCCGTGCTTCACATTTTGTATGTAATGAAAAAACGCATGATCCACTTATGGCAGGGAATAAATGATATGATCATGTCTTCAGATTACAAGGATTCTGACGTGGAAGTGAAGAGTGTGTATGCTCAAAAGTCTTTACATGGAAGTATTCTTCTGGTGGTTGCTGGAAACTTGACTGGAAATGATGACGTGACTAGAGCATTTAGCCATACTTTCCTTCTTGCAAGACAAGAGAGGGGTTTTTTTGTCTCGAATGACATTTTACGGTTTCACCATCCATCAACTCCTGAAGCTGAAAATAGCTCTGTCCTTCAAGCATCAGAATCTCCTTCATCCACCAATTCAGGTATGTTGTGTTTAATCCATTTCATACTTCCATAGAGCGTATGAATGAATAATCTTTTCTTGGTAATAAGTTTATCTAGACCCTAGAGACTCTTTGTTTTGCATTTCAGTTCTGGATTTGATTCAGATAACTAAAACACAACTAAGCATTTAAAGCACATTTGGCTGACTCATTAAAAATTCTTTCCCCGGAAATAAATTCACTTTCTTATGAATCTAAATACATTCCTCTAGAAATGCATTCTCTAATTTTGAAGGATTATAAATATATTTTTGGCTTCTAGTTTTGGAATATCTAGAGTGCTTTTATATTTATAACGTCGTTTGTGTTTCTCAATCACTTTTGGAATATCTAAAGTGCTTTTAGAGTCTAGAAGTGTGTGATCTTTAAAAGCTGTTTTTTCATTTTTTGTTTGAAATTACTTCCTTGAAGTCTGTTTGGAAAAAGACAATCTGTATTGCTTAGTTACTTATTTCTGAACCACTTTAGGTTATTATTCATTCTTAAATCCAAGTCTGGGTTATTTTCTAAACAGCTCTTACTCACATATTCAAGAATGTATACAGCACAAATTCCATTACCGTAGATATCTTTTACTGAACTATTAAAAAATGAACCTGCTATAAACTGTCTTTTGGCCAACTGAAACCCAATCACACACTACTCCAGGCAAAGTGGAATATGGATAGGTGAAGGACAGTCAGAATCGGTTTTTTTTCCAGAGAGAGTAACACTATTTATGGTAACCAAACATGTTTTCCACAGATTATTCTTACTACTTATAAATTTATCATGCTATGTGTCTTGCAGATGTTTCAGAGCTTGTTGAGGCTCCTGAGAAAACGTGCACAAAGGCAGAAGCAAAAGATGCCACTTCTGAATCTAAACTGAATCCATCAAGTGAGAAGATAACTATTGAATCACTTCCTACACCACCAGTAATTAATTCTAAAGAAGCTACCCCTAAGACAACCTATCTTGAAAAGGTTAGTTTTTTATATGCCACCCCACTATCATACTAATTTTATGATCCTTCTGCTAAACATACATTCTTTGTTTTTCTATGGTATAGCTGGGAATTTATGATCCTTCTGCTAAATAAAAATTTGGTTTTTGTTTGGTATAGCTGTCAAAAGAGAGCACATGTCCTCATGCTCCTCCCCTCCCAATTGTAAGAGTTTCACCAAATGATGGAAGTTTGATTGAAACAAAGCCACAAGTCCCTACTGGCAATGATTCAATCAAGAAAATGAGTTTGCATTCCAATGGTGTGGGGTACAAAACTGCCTCTCCCCTGAGTGATGAAACGACGGAAAATATCTTTCAACGTGCGTCTAAGTATCAACTCATTTTACAGTTAGTATGCGCTCTAGTTTCACTACTATACCTACTATCACTCAATTTAGACCTCCACGAACTTGATTTGATTCTTCACAATGCATTTTGGATCCAATCAAGTCTTCAGGGCATATTTTGCTCCAATTAAGAAGGGAAAATAATCTCATTTGACTACCATCTTTAGTAATATGAGATGCTGAACAATAGAATCTCTTTTCTCCCAATGACTTTTCCATCATAAAAAATGTGTCCTTAGTTTTATATTGGTGCACTACATACTGATGAACTGCAGAACCGTGTGTATCTCTTGCCAGCTACGGGAATATATATTGGAGGATTACCACCCCACACAACGAAGAATGAGCTCGCCGAAGCTGTCAAGATGTTTGGTAAAGTTAAAAAGAATGATGGTGTTCAAGTTATTGATAACAAAAATGAGGTTTGTTAATTTATGTTTTGTACAGTGTTGTTTTAGAGTTCATTAATTATCTGTCATTAAACTTTCGAATGCTGCAAACCTGGAATTGTCAAACAGGATGGATTCACTTACGGATTTGTACATTTTGAGACCGAAGATTCTGCACACAGAGCGGTCGAGGTATGGCATTTGTTGGTATTTCTTTTGGCTTTTTAGTTTTTACTATTATCCTTAACACTGTTTTTGGTTATATCTCAGGCTCACAATATTACCATCCGTGGGAAAGAAGCATACATAACATACAAGAAATCAAACATCAGAGGTAATATGTTTATTTGATTGAAAACCAATTATCTAAAATGCTGTGTCATATAATCATATTGCTTTTGTTGCATAGGCTTTAAATTTATTATGTGTCACATTTAGGGTGGACCTGAATGAATGTCGGTTTCCGGGTCACGGAATGACCGAAAGGATTGGAAATATAACCGTTACCAGCAATACTTCGCCGTGTTCCGGGTTGAATAATCCAACTCTGGTAACCGTTACCAGCAATACTTGGCCTGGTCTTATTTTGCAAGAACCAGGCCAGAACCCTTAAAGTATGACCAAGTCCACCCCTGTCACATTTGAGTTATTTTTATACATGTCACAAAACTCTATATTTGCAACGTTGTTATGGTATAACTATGAATGTTTCATAATATATCTTCAAAATTTTAAATGTTTAATAATGAAATACCTAGGGCTAATGAATATATCGTGGACTGTTTACATCAGATAACTGTTTGAAATGAGTAGCTTATAATAAGCGGTTTTGACCAATTTTTCCACCTCAAATCTTCGGAAAGATGTTAGGTTGTTATGGACCTAGCCCATACTAGGTCATACCAGTGCTATAAGCCCAGTGTAGAACTCACTCCTAAAAGACCAACCCATTAGGAGGAGGGAACACCTTGCTTATAAGCCACCGGTCAACCCCATACTTGACCAGCGTAGCAAACTAGTTGTTACTTGTTAGCTGCAAAAAGCCCTTTTTCTCAAATGAGTTATTTAACCTATTCAAGAAGCCTTCCTTATGTAATGCTCTGAAAACCTGTAGCTTGGGCTCCTGCTTCTGGTAGCAACAATGGCGGTGGAAGGGCTCCAGGGGGGAAAGGCGGGCCCTACCATAATAACACTTCATCTGGTAGAGGAGGATCTTACAATGGATATTGTGATGGAGAGGACGATGGTGGGTATTATGATTATCAGAGCCACCGGAAAAGAAGCTCAGATGGGAGAGACAGAGACGGTTACCAGTGGAATGGTGGTGGAAGGAGGGGTAACAGGGGAGGCAATGGCCATGGCAACCAGTACTAGATGTTACTTTCATGAAACCGTGAGTTTTGGATATAAAAATTTGTAGTCCATTCATGGAGCAGGAAAAGTAGTTAGCCCTATCCATGACCCAAAGAAAGAGTTTTTTTTTTTTAAATCTAACCAGACAGTGATTGGGGTATTGTGGATCTTAAAATTGGAACGAGAGTTTCTTTGCCTATAATTTTTTGCATTCTAGCATGTCTTTTTCCTTTTTTTCTTTCTTGCTGTTATTGAGTAGACTGTAGATGTTGATGATTTTTATTTTGTGCTCCTCTTTACAAGGCAAATTTCGCTTAGAAGTTAGAAATGAGCAAATCTATAAGGATGTACTACTTTGTAATAGTTTGTATCAGCTTATAGACTTGGTTGTCATCTCTAGTTTGTACCTTGTACACTTCTAATAAGGTACATTGATTCATCAAATAGGCACCGGATAATAATACTATAATAGAAGATTACTAGTATAGTATAATACTCCCTCCGTCCCTAAATAAACTTCCAACTTTTCTTTTTCGTCCGTCGCAATTAAAACTTCTACTTTTCCTTTTTGGCAAAGAATTTGTGGTTCACAACTTTTTTTACACATTTCTCTTTCCTGCATAACTCTCCACCACATAATATCCACTATCTTAAATTGTGTGTCAAACCTATTTGGAACATAAATTAGGGACGGAGGGAATAATATACACCGTATAATATGTTGATGATTTTTTTTAATAGAAGATTACTTTTTTCAATTTTTACATGCACATTTCATAATGAAATAATTATTATATGCTTTCTGATATTTTAATGGTGCTCATTTTATGATTTTGTATTAATGTACATTTATTTAAAACATTGTACATATTTTAGTACTACGTATAATATAAAAAATTCCAATGATTCACGCATATAATATATTCATTACAAACCATTGAAACCAGCCTAATAGAGCAAGTTTTGTTATTCTAAAAAAAGTTTTGTTTACTCAGTTATTAATTATTAATATCTTATCAATGAAAAGCGTAAAAATTTTAGTAGGAAAGAAATTTAGGGAAAACTATCAAATAAGCCCATGTACTATACTGAAAAAATCGATTAGGCCTCGTACTTTACAAACACTCAATTAAGTCCTTGAATTATTAAAAAACGTTCAATTAAGACTTTTCGGTCGGTAAGTAACCGGTTTCCTGGTTAAATGTAACCTGTTTCCCGGCAGCCGCCGTTGTTGGGGTTCGAGTACATCGTCGCCGTTTAACCGGGAAACCGGTTACTTACCGACCAAAAGGGCTTAATTGAACGTTTTTTAATAGTTTGAGGACTTAATTGAGTGTTTGTAAAGTACGAGGCCCTAATCAACTTTTCTGGCATAGTACGGGGGCTTATTTGATAGTTTTCCCAGAAATTTATTATTTCTTATTTACATATAGGGGGATCCAGGAGGCGGTTGTGGTGCTGGACCGGTCATTTTTTTTCTTTTTTAGCTTGAAATCGGGTAAAAAAATTAATGATTCTGGTCCTAGCATATTTTCCGACCCAGAAAAAAATACCGTGTTGATCCTGAGCTTTATAAAAAATACGCCATAACAAGGTAGTCTTGGCCTGGAATCGGGGCCCGAGTTAACCTCTTTTTACATATATTAACGCAATCAGAAAAGTAACTTCAGTCTCGCTTATTTTTTTCCCAACTTATTGATTTTATTAGTTCATTTTTCTACTTAACACATTAATTTTTTATATCATGCGTTGCATTATGTAATATTAAAAATAAGCGAGGCTGGAGTTACTTTTCTAGCTGAATTGGTTGAAATTACTCTAGATTGTCATTTTAGCTATTTTCATACGGAGTCTATAATTTTTCTTAATTTTATTAATAAAAAATATTTCAAAATTCAAATGTAATATTTCCCCATGTCACAAGATCAACCAGTCCACCAACTTCACTTAAAAATTCGTCAATTTCAGCAGCTTCAACCGATTCGAACAATTTCAGTGTTATCAAATGAGCTCTTAGTATAATATAAATATATAATACATTAATGCATAACTCATATCCATATGATTTACACACAATAAAATTATTATTTCCTCTATCGCCCTATCTTTATCCTATTTTACTTTTTAATTCGTTCCACTAAGTTTGTCTCACACCATATTTGATAAAATTTTGGTGATTACAATTCATTTTTATTTTATTTACACTTTAGCTTTATCAATTTAATACCAAATTAATTAAGCATACAATTTCACTTTTCTTAACAACTGCACCACTCCATTTTATCTCAATATTAGAGGGATGGACACTACTTTTAGCTATGAGAAAGATAATACTTGGTAAAATTAATTTATATTTCTTTCTATTAAATGTATTAACTTTATAGTGTTTCTTTTATAATATTATACCATTGTACATTTATAATTAGCATAATATTTATTTTAGTATTACATAAAGTTCATTCAAATATTACACACCTAATAGATTTTTTATAATCAAGACTACTAGCATTAGCTATATATGGCAATTCATTTGTTTTAGAAAAATCTTTTATAAAGCATACTACAATTGTTGTACAAGTTTGTATATACAATATGTGCATTTGTTTGATAGACATAAGTCCATACTTTCTAGTTTTTATACTAACTAAAAAGTTCGTAAAAGTTTGTAGTTGTATACTTAAAATGAAATTTTTAAAAAGTTTTTTTAAATAAAATAGATTTTTGACATTCTAAAAGAAGTAGAATATGAGAAAAGTCTTAAATTTTAACCTTCAATAATCCCAACATCTTGTATATCAATCTGAACCAGATCAAACAGTCAGCTTTTTATCAAACAGCTATCACCTTTTCATCTTCGGATCTTTTAGTCACGAAAAGCTAACAGTTACTTTTTTTTAAAAAAAAACTAGCAGTTACTAAAAAGCTAATTAAAAGTATCTTTTCAGTTAGTTGTGCCAAACATACCGTATGTTTGTCAACTACAAAAGCTCGATCAATCTAGATCTCAATCAAGAGAATTTTCTTGGGTGTAGTTTTAGTGTTTTCTTTTTTTTTTGTATCGTTTTATTTTCTTTCTTTTATTTTCTTTTTTTGTTTCTCATTATTTCAATAAAATTCTCTTTTTCTTAAAAAAAAGCTCGATCAATCTAGACACAATGACATTGTGAAACTAATTTAATGAACTTCATTTTGAAGAGAAAAATAGAACAATAGAACTAAAAAATCATAAATAGTAATGCAAAAAAAAATTGAATAAAAAAACTTTAATTACAAATTCAAACTCTAATAGCTAATTCTTAAACATTCAACCAAAAGAATAGAAACAAGAAACTACAACTATTAAAAAATGTACGATAGGTGTTGAAAAAGTTAGTTAAATTAAATCCATTTAAAACGTAACAAGAATTACTATGCAAAATAAATTACGTATATCAAACATGTTATTCAACCGCAGTCTGCTGTCTGCACCTACGCAACCATGTAAATTAGGGCTGAGTTCGGTTCAATTCTTACTCAAAATGAGTGGAACCGTTATAACTAATGAAATCGGTTTGGTTCCTGTATAAAAAATCAAGAACCGTTATGAAACCGAACCATTATTAAACAGTTCGGTTCCTTCCTTTTACCGGTTCATAAAATAATTTTTTCTCATCTAAGAATTAAGTCAATTAACACATAATTTACTTTCTACAACATAAACCCATCGAAAATTGAAAACACGAGTATTAAAATTTTATTTTAACTCAAGCATCCAAACTCAAACTTAACTACTGAACTGCGAACAATTAATAGAACAAATGATGATACACTTGTAATTTCCGTATGTATGTTTACGTTTTTAGCTAGTTTTGGTTGTTTAGTATTTCGGAAATTACACACTTTTGGTGTAATAGTTTAGTTTGTTGAATTCTTGTAATTTGTTTAGATTAGGGTCATTCTGAGCTCAAACAGGTCTACCATCACTCAAAGGACAGTTGGTGAACCCCAAAAGTGAAAGGAAGGTGCAAAATCACAAGACAAAAGGGAAAATCCTGATTTTGGTCTATACTCGGTCGAGTATTACCTATACTCGATCGAGTATAAGGTTGAAACTTCAAATCGGATCGGATCCGAAGACAAAGGAACATGCCGGGAAGATTTTGGCCACGATTTAGTGTCTATACTCGATCGGGTAGACCGACATACCCGATCGAGTATGCCTTTGAGTTTAAACCCGAAATCGGTCGAGTATGGCTCGAATATCACTTTCTGCACATACTCGACCGAGTATGAACATATACTCGATCGAGTATACCTCGAATCTGGTATTTCTACACATACTCGATCGAGTATCTGTATATACTCGATCGAGTACCCGAGCCTGCACCTCAAAAAGCCTATAAATACACCTCCTTTCCTTCACTTTAAAAAACCAATTCCTTTATACTCTTAAGCTCAGTTTAGAATAGCATTTCTTTATATTTCTTTTAGCATGTTTAGTCTCCAAATGAGGAGCTAAACTCTCAATTCTTGGTGTTGCTCTTGAAGCTTGTTGATTATTAAAGTTGTGAGTTATTTTCTTAACTTCTTTCCTTGAATATTAATGCTTCTCTTAAATACTATTTCTATATCAATGTTGGGGAGTGTTGCTAAGATGACAATTAGTTAACATCTTGACATTGGTTTTAGTAATAGCTATTCCTTCCTCTATGTTAATATCGGGGAGTGTTGCTAAGATGACAATTAGTTAACATCTTGATATTTAACTATAGTAGGATTCATTCCCTTTAATATTCTTCCTTGAGTATTAATTAATCCCTATTCATATTTCATATTAATATTTTGAACATTACTTAAAGGATCAACTAGTTTTGTTTCATATATTAATTATTACTAGAAATGATCAACGAACCGATGGTTAATCGTTGATAGTTTCACAAGTAAGTAACTTCGGTTTATTGATGCACGGTCGTGGTTAATAAACTTAAGAGGGATTAATTTTGTTGGTTAAACCGAAACCATTGTGTTAAGGTTATCAATCTCAATTGATTTCATCAAGGAGTTGAAAGATTAAATGCTACTATCAAGTCGGTATATGGCGTTGTTCTATACTTGACTAATAGTAAGGGTTATTGATGAACGGTCGTTGTTAATAACTATCCTCGATGAATTGGATATACTCCTCGATTGAGTATTCGAGAGGAGATAAGTTATAGATATAACGATGATCGACTAAAA